GGGTTTCCTGCTTTAGCGATCCCCTCAAACACACACTGGAACTTCTTCTTCAGCTCAGATTTAAATTTACGTTGACAAACTTCAGCAAGATGTTCTCAATAAATAAACCAAGAATATTACTTCATTATTTACAAATACCATATGACAACTTTTTTTGAACAAATGTTATTCATCTCTTGAGAGAGCTTAAATATTCAGAGATATCCTCTTACTGCTCTGCAGATGGTCAGCCAACTCCTCCTGCTTCATTCTCCTCAGAAAGTCCAGTGTGATCTTCACAAATGCCTCGCTGCTGCTGTTTCTCTGACTCTCTAAGCATTCGGGGTAATCTGGACTCAGAACCTTCTGGATCTTCTTCAGCTCATTCTTCACAAAAGTGATGATGTTGTCCTCCAGCAGCTAGAACAGAATACTTTATGAATGAGCCAATCAGACTGAAATCATGGAACCAAACATCAGATCCATGTTGGACACACTGACAATCCACTGGTCTATAAAGATCAGCATGGAAATGACTGTGAACAGAATAGATGTAAAAGTAGTTTTTGTACATGTACAGACCATAAATATGGAGTCCAGGTGTGTTTGATGCTGCTGGGCAGACTGACCACTGGGAAGCTCTGAGCTCTCCTGGTCCACTCTGTGGAGGAATCATGAAGAATTAGTTCAAGCCGAGGATAAAGATCCAGTAGACTTCTGCTCAAATAACTTCATCTGAATTAAGTTAGTCAAGTGAACACTCCGGATGTTATTTCATTGAAGAGTTAATCCACCCAAGCACAGGTGTGTACTGATTTACACAACACAGGTACGGTGGCTCATGACAGGCAAATTGGTGCTCAATGAACATTTAACCACCTGATCTGCATATTTGAATAATTATCCTGAGTATGCGCATTAGTATTGGACTTTGAGCTGTGTGTTGTTCCTGCTCTTCACTCTTTCTAGCAGCTTCTGTCCTGTAAAGCTTTGTCAGCTGCAATGAATCTACAACAACAGCATGATATGTTTCTGGAGTTTGAACAATCACAGATTCGACTTTGGGACTGACCTCAAACAACTTGTTGTCATGGTGATAGTCTACATATTCATTGGCTCCCAGTCAGTGTAGTTATGTGTGTACAGAGTAAGAAGATGCTTCAGACAGATGTTCCCACACACACAGCAGTAAAACATCAGACTACGTGGACAGATGAATGCTTGAAGCTTCCAAACATTTACATGGAAAAGCTTCAAATGTCTGTTTGTGTCAACAGTTCAGTGAGCAAAAGATGAACTGATCTCCCTAAGGCACAAAGTGTTCTCCATCTATAAGATACAAATGTGAAACTTTTCCTACAGAAACTGGAACAACTATAAACATTTGTGTAACTGCTGATCAGTCCTACATCACTGAGGGAATCTGAGCTCAGTCCTTCACACAGAGCAGCTTCAGCTCTGGGTGTTGGTGGATTTTCAGTTGAGGAACTTCTACAATATTTCTGCTGGATTAGGATCCAGAGTTTGAGTTCGTTTAGTGCTTATAAAACTTTTTTTTTCTTTGACCGTCCTTTAGAAGAACAACTTGTTTGCTTTGTGTCACTGTCTGACTTTCTCATGAGACTCAGTGATTCTACAAGAGGAGCAGCAGTAGGATGACTTAGAGCCCAGTAAATAACACTAAATAAAATATGAGGTCTGTGGCAGTTATTAGACGTGATCTTGGAGAAATACTTTGTTTCTGCTGCTCTTACAGCCTTCTGATTGATAACAATGATCTGGTAAGATTATTCAACCAAGGCTGGGTTTTAGGTTTTAGACTCCTGGTTGTGAGAAGACCAATGGAATCAAAGATTTCCACAGGCGGGATATTTGATAACTCCTGACATCCTGGGGCCTGTGGGGACTGCTCCTCAATAGCGGCTAAGATACACACAGGCGCCATCTTGACACAACCCTATGACAAGCAGCTTGGAGCTGAGTACAAAATAAAGCGCCTTGAAGTGACTGTTGTTGCGATTGGGCGCTATATAAATAAAATTGAATTAAATTGACGGAGGTCTCATTAACAGCAGCCAGTATGAGCCAGGCTTTAGCTGCTTAGATGTTACCCTGGGTCTCTTTGTGACCTCTCAGACTGTTTAACAGATCAGACATAAAGACATGAGAATCAGAGACCAAGTGTTACGTGCAGGCTGTGTGCAGGCAGGAGTGGTGATATGAAGGACCCAAAATGCAGACTCACGGAAGTCAAAGGTGAACTTAAATACAGCTTTAATGCTGAACTCCAAAAAAAGTAACAAAACTGAGACTCCAAGGTAAACTTTACACAGACAGAACACACAGCAAAATAAGTCAGTACTCAGTACAGACTTTCCCCAGAGATATGAGCATCACTGTCCTGAAACAGCAAATGACCAAGTCTAAGATATTTATCTTTGTATTTTCATTGTTTTCTTTTTAATGAATGTCTTGATGCATGCTCAATCATCCAGGTAAGTAAATCTCCAAAAGTTGATTCTGTTCATCTAGACGTAGCGTTTTAAGTGGGAGAAACATTTCAAGATGTCATTATGGAGGCAGATTAAACCATGGTCTCGTACGACGTTACATCTCTCTTCACTTGCATCCCAGTCACGGAAGTGTTGGAGGTACTTTGTAAAAGATTACAGGATGACCCCAACCTCAGCAACAGGACCACTCTCAGCATCGACCAAGTGTGTTTGCTTGTGGAACTGTGTCTTCATTCCACCTACTTCACATGCAAGGGTCAGTTCTACAGGCAGAAACATGGGTGTGCCATGGGTTGCCCAGTTTCACCCGTCATGTCCAATTTGTACATGAAAGAAGTGGAAAAGAGGGCTTTGTTATCCTACCCTGGAACACCACCAAGTCATTGGTTCAGATATGTGGATGAAACCTGGGTGAAAATCAAATCTCAGGACGTACCACACTTCACGGATCACATTAACTCGGTGCACCGATACATCAAATTCACCAGAGAGGATATGAAAAGTGGCAGGTTAGCCTTCTTAGACTGTGAGATTTCCATCAGTAATGGGGGACATCGAAAAGCTGACGTGTACCATAAACCTATGCATACGCATCAGTATCTAAGGTTTGACTCTCATCATCCACTGGAGCACAAACTGGGTGTCATCGGGACGCTACAACACAGAGCGAACACCACCCCCAAAGACACAGCGGCCAGTGAGGCAGAAGAACAGCACATCAAGAAGGCCCTGAGTAAATGTGGTTATCCCAGCTGGACTTTTGTCAAAGCAGGAAAGGCACCTAAAGAAAGCTCCAGCCGATCCAGCAGAGAAGGGCAACCGCTGCCCAAGCGAAAACCTGTAGTGATCCTGTATCTGTCAGGAGTATCGGAGCAGTTGAGATGCATTTTTTCTAAACGCTGCGTCTCTGTGGCTTTTAAACCCCAAAACATGCTGCGCCAAAAATTGTTCCACCCCAAGGATTGTGTCCCCCGACACAAACAGAGTAACATAGTGTACGCTGTTAAGTGCCAGGAGGAATCCCAGGATTTATGCATCGGGGAAACCAAACAACCTCTGGTGAAGCAGATGGCACAACACAGAAGAGCTACCTCGTCAGGCCAGGACTCTGCTGTCTATTTACACCTACAGGCCAGTGGACACTTTCAAGGATGAGGAGGTAATATCCTGGACAGGGAGGAACGCTGGTTTAAATGCGGGGTCAAGGAGGCCATTTACGTGAAAAGGGAAAGATAATCTCTGAATCGAGGAGGGGGTCTAAGGGTACGTCTTTCGCCATCTTACAATGCTGTGATTGCAGCCATTCCCCAACCATTGATCAGTGGGCTTTGATCACTGGTTGTTGATCAATACTCATGAGAATTTGCATATTAATGATCAAGGAACTGACCTCCCAGCCTATTGTTCCTTCAGTGGGCTGGTTTCAGTCATTATGCAAATGTACTGTTTATAAGATTGGGGAAACTTGTAGTCAGCTGAGACTGAAGAAGTCACTTGGATGAGTGACGAAACGTTTCTCCCACTGAAAACGCTACTTCCAGATGAACAGAATCCACTTTTGGTGCTTTTTAATGGATCTTAGTAAAAATCAGAGGATTTTCAGATCAAATTCATCCAGGAAAACACAAATATGTAACGGAACTCATCACAGTTTTCTGACCTCATTGGTCCAGGTTCATCACTGAAGTTTGGATTGTGACCTTTGGACCGGTCACTGGTCACAGACAGACGGCTGGATCCTCCAGACGGGGACCTCTGACCTCTGCAGACAAACACGTTTTATTTAATGATAAATTCTTCAATAAAGTCATTGAAGCAGCTCTGATCACACAGACTGCAGATAATGCAGCTGCTTCCTGTCAGTAACAGTCCTCTTAGATGAGAGTACAGCTTTTTACAGGAAAACTGGACAAAACTAACTTTTGTTAGAAATTCATTTTCATTTCCTCTCAGCACACAAACCAACCCAGTCATAAAATCAACCAGAATCAACAGTATATATATATATAATATAATAATGTATAATGTTAGTGCAGAACTATTTCTGTTAACTCAGTGAGTTCAGCTCTCTGACCTCGATGGTCCAGTTTCATCACTGAAGTTTGGATTGTGACCTTTGGACCGGTCACTGGTCACAGACGGACGGCTGGATCCTGCAGACTCTGGACTGTCCTCCTCTTCCTCCAACATCATCTTCTTGTGGACTTCAGTCAGTCTGAGAGGTAAACCAAAAACACTCATTAACAGAAGTAACTGAGTTACAGTCACTGACCTCTGACTGTAATGTAACCTAGAAACCAGGTCAATATGTCTGTAGGTTCTCAGTCATCCAGGTCATGATAATCTAAAGAGCTTGGAAATAAAAGAGACTCCTTTAAATTTCTTGAAGACGTTTCATCTGAGAAGCTTCTTCAGTTCTAAAACCAAACACTGCACAGTCCCAGATATTTAAACCCTTGAGGAAAAGAAAGAAAGAGGGTCGCTGACCCACTATTGATCATATGATTTATTACAAGATCAATAGTGGGTTTTACTGATTCTCAGTAGCTCTGCTTTGACAGTCACCACCATCATTAAGCAGAATATCAAACAACTGCATGTTGTGGGTCAAATGTTTGTGCATGTTGGATGTGTTTCCTCTTTGTTGTTATCAGTGTTGGGTCATTACTCAAAAAAGTAATTATGACACAGAACACTTTTATTAAAGGTAATGAGTACGTTACTTAATTATATCCACAAGAAAATACTTATACCCCGCATAACATTACTTTCATTTTACTGTGTAAAATGAGCTGAAGCACTGTCTCATTATGACCATTTAACAATATAAAGCTACAGCCCCACACACCAACACAGATCCTGATGAGGACACACGTGATTTTCTGAGTATTTAGGTATGAACACAAATCAAAGATGAAACCAGCAAAAAGACACGTCAAAGTGATTCTACTGTAGAAACATGAACAGGTAGAAACCTGCAGGCTGACTGCTTATAAGTTTGTTACCTGTTCAGGTTTAGCAGCAGCTCACTTTGTCACAGTGCTGGTCTGGGGTCAGCATTTACTCAGCTTTAATGTCACTCTGGGTTCTTGGTTAGCTTAGCATTAGCATGCTGTCTGGCTAGCGTAAACGGAAACTAGGATTGCCAACCGTCCCTTAAAAAACGGAATCGTCCCGTATTTAGAAACAAAAGTACACGTCCCGTATTGAGCTGAAAAGGGACGCACTTTGTCCCGTAATACAGTGAGAATTAAAAGTAGTCTATAAGTTTTAATGTAATTAACGCTTTGTTTGTAAACATAATTCCC